GACCGCACACTGTCAGGCTTCAGTGTCTTTCCATCCCAAGGGTTGGCCTTGGTGGCAATTTTCACTGGGAAGGAGAATAAAACAGTTAAGAGAAGCAGAGCTACTCACTGGCCATGTGATCCTGGTCCATTACTTAACTTTCCTGTGCCTTAACTCCCTAATCTATAAAATGGGGTGGCAACAATCGAACTGTCCTTACACATGTCACAGGGATTAAACAATGTTTTCAGTTGAAGTTTTCGATGTTTACCTTTATTCCTGTCACCATCATTAGTCACCAAACTTCTGGTGGTGCCAGACGCTGCACAAGGGACTGAGTGTGCAGAGACGAAGTGAACACACTGGATCCCCGCCCTCCCGGAGCCCAGAGACTGTCTGCCAGTGCAGCAGAGAAATGAACAGTGCTACAGGAGCCCCTAGGACAGGCACGAGGCCCACTCTGGAAGCCAGGAAAGGCTTGCTCTAGGCCAGTGGTGGTGAACCCGTGGCACGCATACCCTACTGAAAGCTCTAAAAGGTTTGCCATCACTGGTCTAGGTGATGATCACAATCTAGGTCCCTAAGAATCAGCCTTAGCCAACAAGGAAGGGACAAAAATGTCACAGAGACAAGAAAACACAGATGTGAGGCTGTACAGTTCCAATTCTGCATCTGTAAAGGGGGCCTGGGAAGAGGGCACAGATCTAATCCCAAAGACTCTCAGATAGCACCCCACTGAATGTGTACTAGATCACTCACAGGTCATGTCAGGTGTGAACCAGGCAGTAAGTTTGCTCTGGCTGCAGTATAGAGAAGGAACTCAAGGGGGCAGACCTGGAAGAAGGGAGATGGACAGAAACCAGAAACCTGCTGCACAAGGTACTGGTCAGTCTGAGTTAGGTGCATACTGAGAAGAAGATAGAGACCCCCCTCCACCCATACTGTAGGAAGTGTGCGCACCCATCCAGCCATTGCATTCTTCCCAGGAGAACACGGCAGTGTTCTGCCATCCAGGAAGCTTGGAAATGAATTAACTTAGCCCTGTTCCTTAACCTGCAAAGAATGCCAGCTGTCCGGACTGATCTGCGGACGGGTTTTGCACTTTTCTCTCTTGGCAGTTAACTCAGCTTGTCAGAGAGCTGTCCTCAGTCACGTGGGATATGGGAGAGAAGTCCACAACTAGTCCTCCACTGCCCCCCAGGCTGCCTTGGGGTGAACTTTACCTCAGGTGTGACCTGAGGACTCTGGCCCTTTGAGCTCCAGGCCTCAAAGAAGAAAGCAGGGAAGGCTTGGAGAAGAAATATCAGTTCAGAAACAGAATGTTCGCTACCAGCCGGATGCCGCCTGGTGAACTAGCAAGGGCGGGTTGGAAGACACATTTCTATCTACCCAAGTTGTGGATCTAAAGAGGATCTAGAGAGGGCCACTCCACAGGGATGGGAAGAAGAAGCCTCGAAGTGGCAAAGAGGAGGCTTCACTATGTGCCAGGCACCCTGAGGAAAAGGGCTTACACACACCCCCGCCACACCACCACCCCTACTTCCCCAGTGGGCCCTTGGCATCCCCATAGCTCTCCGAGAGACCCAGAAGCGCTGCGAACTGCACGGAACAAAGTCTAGAGCCTGAACAAAGACTAGGAGAGACAAAGTGCTCAGAGAGCGCATGGGTGGTCAGGGCCCGGTGGAGTGGAGCGGCGCGGGGTCTGGGTTGGGGGACGGGTAACGGGCACCCGGGAGGAGCTGCAAGGGAGTTAAGGAGGTGGAAGAGTCAGATCAAGCTCGGGGTGAGATGGGGGCTCGGCACGGTGCAGAGACAGGGAGGTCAGGGGCGGCCGTTACCTCCGCAGTCTTTGCCGCCCAGCCCGAGCCCGAGGCCGCCCAGGATGCTCTCGGACTGGCCGTCGCCATACATGAAGGCCGTGTCTAGCTCCGTGTAGCCGCGCTCCTGGAAGGCGCGCACGGACGCGGCGCTGGAGGACGCGTCCATGCGGCGCCCCATCTCCATGGTACCCAGCACCGTGCCGGGCCGGGCTGGGTTGCCCCCGGTGGCGCGTGGCGGCGGCGGCCGGGACATGACGACTGTGCGGCACTCGGCCAGCCGGGAACTTGGCTCCGAGCGGACCGCAGCGCGATTCGCAGCCCAAGACACTAAGCGCAGCATCAGGACTGCGCCTGCGCCAGGGGCCGCTTTGTCCCCGCCCACGCTCGAGGGGCGGAGCTTGGAGGGGGTTAGGGAGCTTAGACAAAGGCGCGTAGGGCTCCCCGGCGCACACACGCTGCGCGCCCTCGACGTCTCCGGGGATCGTCTACCAAGTGCGCGGAGTGAGAGGCGGAGCCGCGCGGCTCCCGGGGCGGGGCGGCAGCGCCGGGTCAGCTGACCGGAGGACTGACCCAGAAGCCGGGTCCCGCGGCGGATCCCGACGTGGTGAGACGGCCTGGGGGCTGGCGGCAGGTCCCTGGGCTTGGGGTCGGGACTCCTGACGCTTCCTGCTACGTTTTCCAAAACCCGCTTCTCGCCCCTGCACCGTCCCCGGCTTCTGTCCCCGCCAAAGGCGCGAGATCCTGGGACGAGGCGCGGGGCTTGCTTGGGGCAGCTTCTCGGCGGCACGGGTCCTACCCACCTAGGGGACGGCAAGCACGGCCATGAGACCAGCCTGGGCAGGGTTGGGGTCCGGGTCCCCTTTCACCTGCTCCCGTGGCCGATGGCTTCTAGTGGCTTTGTTTTGTTATGGTGGACCGAGTGAAGGCGCTGGCCCAGTGGCTGCCCTGTCATTATCCCTCCAAACTGGCCTCTCCTGGAGCAGGTGGGGTCCCCAAGTCGGGACGCCGCCCCGCCACATTCTCCCCAGGTGTGCCCTTGCCAAGTGCAGGGCGGGGTACCAAGGGTGCAGGGCCAGTGTAGGTTTAGAAATGTGAGGGCTGAAAGTCATGGTCACAGGTATTGGCCATTCAGCGTTTACCGAAGGCTGCTGTGTGCTCGAAACCCGGGGAGGGATGGATTATAGCAAGAACTGTCACAGCCTCCCTGAATATTACTGTGAGTGCTTGGTCGCCCTGCACCAGCCACCACGGTAACTGCATGGGCTGGGTTATCTCATTTAATTCTGCATTAGCCTAGAAGGTGGGTACTTGCATTATTCCCCCAAGTTACAGATGGGAACTCTAAGGGTCCATCACTTGCCCAGGGTTTCTAGCTCAGCAGCCAGACGGGCACCTAGATGGCAGGATTCCATTTCTTCTTAATCCTAGGCCCTCTGAGCTCAGTTTTCTCCTTCCTTTTTCCTTGAAAAATTTTCTTTCTCTTCTCTTTCACTTTTCCACCCTCCAGATGCTGTCTGTCTCTCAACATTTTCTGACCTTTTACTGCTTAGCTTGTACTAGTGAGCCCAGGTGCTGAGACCAGGAAGCAAATAACCAGGGCAAGGAAATAGGTGGGCGTTAAAATGGTTCCTGAGGACCTTAACAAGCCCTCTTCAGGGGTGCAGCCCAGAGAAGAGAAGGCCAGGGCAGGTTTTGTACAGCTGGTTTTGCAGGGCCTCTTGGGGAGGGCCATTTTGAACTGGGCCATAGGATTGTTTTATTTTTATTTATGTATTTATTTATTTGTCTTTTTGAGACAGGGTCTCGCTATGCAGTTCAGGCTGGCCTTGAGCTCACTTTGTAGCCCAGACTGGTCTTGAACTCCCAACAATCCTCCTGCCTCAGCCTCCAGAGTGCTGGGATTACAGGCGTGCGCCACCACGCCCGGCTTGTTTGTCTTTTTGAGACAGGGCCTCGCTATGTAGTTCAAGCTGGCCTTGAGCTCACTTTGTAGCCCAGGCTGGTCTCAAAGGGTGTGGATGGAGAGGCTCTCTCCAGCTCAGCCTTTCTCACAGGTCATGGTGTGCCTTGTAATCCTTTAAGAACCCAGAATGTCTGTCCACATCATTTCCTCCCTTCCCCGGGGAAAGGGATGGAGCGGGAGGGAGGGGCCCCGGGGGTGGTCCAGTTACTGGGCTTTCATCCTCCCAACAATCGCTAGGATGTGTTAAGTGAGACACTGGGCTGAGAGCTTTATGTGCATTTTGTCAGCACAGCCACCGGAGGATGGAGTATCATTAGTTCCATTTTATTAAGAGGCTCCAACTGGTTAAATTGCTCACCAAAGCTACTCAACCACATCTTAAATGGGGACAGTGTCCCCTGTCCTGCTGGCGAGTTGTAAGGATGGCAGCGTACAAACACCTGGATGACTACAGTGGCACATTCAGAATCTACAAGAGGAGGGTGGGGCAGGCGGTCCAGTGGGAGGGGCTTTTGTATTGAAGGACTTGGTTTGGAAATGTCTTTGACATTGCAGAGATGCAGTTCTTAACCTGGACTGTGTATTAGCTTAGGGTATCCTCGCAGCTGCCAGTGACAGGGCACCAGGTGAATGCTTCGAGCATCAGCTATGCTCATAGTCATCAAGGAGGACCACTGAGATCCAGGAAGAGCCTCTCCACCACCCTGTGCTGGCCTCCCGTGACACCACAGTGAGCCAGATACACAGTGATCTGGGCCCCAGTTCCCACAGCGGGTCATGTTAGGGCTGAGACGGCTTCCTGAGAAAAGGAGCTGACTCGCTTCCTTTCCCCTCCTAAGGCTCCCTGGTCCATGCCACCTCAGCACTTCCACGGGTCGAGCCAGGGCACTGCTTGATGAGGAGTGGGGCTCCCAGACACAAGTAGGAACAAAGGTGCTAGGGGGAGCCCCCGCCTGGGTGAGGAAACACCCGCTTAGCACAGCAAGAAAAGGGGAAGCACTGGAGAGCTGGGCAGCCATGCCAGGCGGCGGTGGAGTGTGGTGGCTGTGAGCAGGGGTCCTGGTCTGGGTCCTGGGTTTGACTCTTTCACTTCCTGCCGGGGTGGCCCTGGCAGAGCACATCCTTGCTGTGGTCTCAGGTCCCTGCCGGGTGTATCAGTAGACCCCGCTTCCTGAAGTCGGGAGGACAAACTGCATTAATGCATGCCAGGCGCTCAGCCCAGCTCTGGTCGGGAGCTGAGCCATCAGGGTGGTGGCAGTTATCACCGATGGAGATGGCGCCAGCTGGGCCCCCTTCTTCCCTTTTCTAGGTTGTCACACATCAGTGACCGCTCTGCTCTCTGTCCAGGGTGCCCAGGTACTGGGAGCAGCCGTCTCCTCTCTGCCCCTGCATTTAGCTGGATCCTGGCTTGGGAGGTGGCTGTGGATTTGTCCCACAGGCCATGTGAGCTCCTGGGGGCACACGTGCTCATGCACCCCAACTTGCATCTCAGCTGCTAGGGCAGCCCCGAGGGATCACTTCTCCTCTGACCCATGACAGGGCAGTTCATGAGAGCATGAACTGAACGGGGCCTTGTTTGCACACCGTCCCGGAGTCATTTACAATAATAACAACAGCGAAAAAGCAGACACAGCCTCAGTGTTTGTGCAGATGCTTGTGTCCCGGACTGCGGGTTCTGGGCTCCCTCTGTGTGTTGTATGTGAGCAGGGATGTTCCCTCGCCCAGGCGGGTTCTGGGCTCCCTCTGTGGTTGTACACGCTCACTTTGATGTGTACCCGGAGGCCTGTTATGTCCCCATTGGTGAGGACTGTATCTTTATCTTTCTCTGGTCCTGGCTCTTGGTCAGCCAGGGCTAGGTGATCCGGGTGGGTTAGGGTTGGGCGGTGGTAAATAGGGGGTGGACCTCCCACAGCTGAAGGCCACCTCTCTTTCTCCCTGTAGAAGGAACCCTCGCCAGCCTCGGTGTACCAGCGCCTGCCTGCCCTCCCTTGAGCTCCCTCGGGGCCGAACCCTCCCTCTTCAGCCATGATCTGGAGGAAACTGGGTGCCAGCAACTTCTCCAGCTGCCCCAATGGCTCCATCCCGTGGATATGGGACATGTTTCACGAGTGTGCCCAGGACGGCTGGGACAAGGCCAGCGTGAGCCTGGGCCTGATCTCCATTCTCTGCTTCGCTGCATCCACCTTCCCGTGAGTCATGCCTGGATGTCCGGTGCAGGCCGGGCTGGGGGTGGGACGGTGGCTTGAGGTCCTGCCTGGGCCTGTCTAGACTCCAGGCCAGCCGTGCCTCCCCCACCCCGGTCACTTTCACTCACTTCAGCCCGCTTGGGAGGGGCCTGGATGGAGCCCCATGAGGTCTCATGCTGGGCCTTGCTGATACAGAAAGAATAACCTTTGCTGCGGTATACTGAGTGTCCACTCTGGACCTGGTTCAGTTCTAAGTGCCGGAGGTGTTTTTACCTCTTTTGGTCCTCAAAGCAAGCTTTTTCTGTTTTACAGATAAGGGAACCGAAACCCAGGGAGGTTAAGTAATGTGCTGTAATGTGCACAGTTGGTAAGAGGGGAGCAAGGAGTGGGAGGGTGGGGGTGCATCCAACATGGCTTCCGTCCTCAAAACTTGGGCGGTCTAGTGGTGGAGACCACAGCCCTGAATACAAAATGCTGATGATGGAGGGGCACAAAGACGCTGCATAACAGCACGGGGTCAGGAATGTCAACCCTCAGCAGCTGGGTGTGGTGGCAGATGCCTGTAATCCTTGCATTCTGGGAGGCTGAGGCAGGAGGATTGCAAATTCAAGCCCGGTTTGGGAAACTTAGCAAGACCCTGTTCCAAAATAAAAAATTAAAAATGGTCCACGGATGTAGCTCAGTATGAAGGAGTTCATGCTGGGTTCAGTCACTAGTACTAAAAAAGAGAGAGAGAGATTGGATTGAGAGTGCCAAGGAAGAAGGACTAGAAGCCAGAGTCCAGGAGGGAGCTGGGCATGGTGGCACACACCTGTAATCCCAGCACTCAGGAGGCTGAGGCAGGAGGATCATTGAGAGATCGGGGCCAGCCTGGGCTACAAAGTGAGCTCAAGGCCAGTCTGAACTGCACAGCAAGACCCTGTCTCAAAAGACAAAACAAAAACAAAAAGACAGTCCAGGAGGGACAGGCTGTTTGGTGTCACCAAGAGGAAGAAGATGGCTGGGCTCTGACGAAGGTCGGGGGAGGAGCCTTTTCCTGAAAGTGAAAGATGAAGAGGAGATGTTTGGGCCTCGGAGGGGGCAGCAGGCATCTGGAGATGAGCTTGGAGGAAGGGAAAGCTACTCTGGGTGGGCGTAGCTCGGACCTGGGGCCTCGCAGGGCACATGTTGAAGGATGTGGGTCGCTATCAAGGAGCTGTGGACAGCTCTTGACAGTTTTTGGTAAGACTGGAATTTTTTTTTTTTTTTTTTTTTGAGACTGGGTCTCACTTTGTAGCCCAGGCTGTCCTCAAACTCATGAAAATCCTCCAGCCTCAGCCTCCCAAGTGCTAGGCTTGCAGGTGTGCGCCACTACGCCCAGCAAGACTGGAATTTTAGAGAGATCACAGAGAGGATGGATGGCTGTGGGGGAACAAGGCTGGGTTAGAAGGCGGAGAGAGTCAGGGCTGAGGAGGAGATGGAGGAGGGACCAGGTGGGAAGGACTGGAGTCAGTGCCCAGCTCTCCTGATTGTCGGCTTGGGCGGTGGGTGGGAGCAGGTGCTGTTTAGTTTCTTTTTCTTTTTGGTGCTGGGGATCAAACTGAGGGCCTCACCTACGAAGCAGGCTCTCTGCCTCCGAGCCACACCCTCAGCCCACCTTCCCTCCCTTCCTGCCTCCCTCCCTCCCGTTTCTCCTGCCCTCTCTCTTTCCCTCCTTTTTCTTTCTGAGTCTTCATGGGTACCCACATGCAGATGGTCAAAAGGAAGTTTGTGGAGCTGGGGGTGTAACCCAGTGGCAGAGCTCTTGGCCAGCATCCGTGAAGCCCTGGCTTTGGTCCCTGGCACTGCAAAGAAAGAAATTTGAACAGTAAACGGAGCGTGTACAGTGGTTAAGCACAAGACCAGAGGCTCGGGCCGGGAGAGTCTAAGCTGTGTGACAGTGTCCTCGGTCCCCAGGGGCAGGATCACCACAGCCTCAAGGGACACTGGGAAGACCGAGGGGTCAGTACCCATGAGGGCTCTGAAATGTACCTGAAACCCAGTGGCCCTGGCAGCATTAGCTGATGCCCAACTTTGGCACTGAATCTCCACCTGCCCGCAGGTCTGGGAAGAGGGTCCCAGCACCAAAGCAAGACCTTTGGGAAAACAGCCGGGGAACTGAAAGACCGGAAGTAGTTCTTGTTACTGAGTTACAGGACCCACCCCACTTTCTCTCTTGCCCTTTGTGGTTTGGCCTATCTCATCATCCACTGATGGAGATGGCGTACAAGCCTTGGGCTAGGGGCTGGGGATTTAGCCCAGCGGCACAGCGAGCGCAAGGTCATGAGTTCGATTCCTGGTACTGGAAAAAAAAACAAAAAAAAAAAAGCCTTGGGCTACCGTGCCACCCCCACCCTGCTCTCCATGCCATCTCATCTGATTCAGAAATATAGAGGGGCCGGGGATGCAGTGTGTAGGTAGAGCACGTCCAAGACCCTGGGTTGTATCCCCAGCACTGCAAAAAATGAAACAGAACGAAAGGAATCAGAGAACCTACGCAGTGGTTCTCGGGGCCTGACACCAACTTCCAGACCCCATATAGACCCCGAGTCCCCTCTGGGACCGCGGGGCATGGCAGAGGAGAAGTGAATGAGGCCAAGAGCCTCTCTGGCTGTAGTCACCCAGGCTGGAAGGGATTCCCCCAGGGTAAAGAGCAAACAAAGGGCATGCGGACCCTGCCACCAGGAAGGGTGCCCCCCTGCCCAGGCTAGCTCCTGACCTTCACTGCCCAGCCGTACTGTTCTGGAGTTCATGGGGGAAGTTTCCTGTTGACCCTCCAAGGCAAGATGGCCTCACAGCCCTGGGCCCCTGAGCTCATGTCCACGCCTCCCCACAGCCAGTACATCAAGGCCTGCAAGACTGGGAACATGGACCAGGCCCTGTCAGTATGGTTCCTCCTGGGCTGGATCGGTGGAGACTCCTGCAACCTCGTCGGTTCCTTCCTTGCTGACCAGCTGCCCCTGCAGGTGGGTGGCTTGGGCAGGGTGGGGCAAGCAGCAGGAGGAAAGGCCCGGGCCTCAGAGTCCTGACTCATTAGTTCATCCACTTAGAGAGGGTCTGCTCCCGGCATGCTGTGGGACAGCGGACAAGTCAGTGCCCCTCTCTGAGCCTCAGATTCCCCGTCTCCAGTGTGAGCACCTCCATCCCCTGGGGTCTTTTGCTTTTGAGGGGCCACAACCCCAGCTTAAGTTGTCAGGGTACAGGATCCTTGAGGAGGAAGTGAGTTTTTCCTTGGGAATCCCTGATGTCATCATTCTCCTGTGGCCAGGCATGGTTGGGAACCATAGTCAGGAAAGTACTGTCGTCCATAGTGGGACTGTGAGGTCCTGACTGGTGGCTCCAGCCATGGATTCCTGGGCACCTCTGGGGGCCGGGCCCTCGGCTGGGCCCTTTGCCCGAGTGATCTCTCCCTCTGCCGGGTAGGAACTGTGATCCCTTCTCCCAAGTGAGGAAACAGAGGCTCAGAGGTAAAGTGCTGCGGTGCTGGCCCTGAGCCCGGGGCTCTTTTCTCCCACAGACCTACACAGCTGTGTACTACGTCCTGGCTGACCTGGTAATGCTCACGCTCTACTTCTACTACAAGTTCAAGAAACGCCGCTCTCTGTGTGAGTGCAGCGCTGCTCTGGAGCAGGCTCCCTGCTGGCAGCCAGGGGGGTCTAGAACTTGTGAGGAAGCAGGTTTCCCATTGCTGGGTGATAAACCAGGCCTTATCTAAGAGCCGGAGTTAATAGGTCAAGATAGAGGCTGGAGGGCGTGAGCATGTCCAGCCCAGACCACAAAGAGCTTCCGGTCACTCTGTTCCCAGTCAGGGAATGTGGCTCAGTGACTCCTCTGTATCTGGCCCTGGGCTTGGAGCCAGGGAAGGAGGACGAGTGTGCAGGCAGCTGCTGCCCTCCCAGATTCAGAAGGGACAACAGACAAGGTCAGCTCAAGAGTGAGCAAGACACAGGGAGGCCTTAGGGAGGGAATTGCGTCTCGTTGGCATTCCCCCTTCCATCCCAACCATCCTCAGTGATTCACCTTTGCAACCCTGGGAGAAAGGTACTGTTGCTAGACTCATTCTACACTTGAGGGATTAAAACTCAGAAAGGTTAGGTCACTTGTCCAAGGTCACACAGCTACGGGGGGGCATGGCTGGAGTGCATTCCCAGTCTTGCTGGTGGACTCAGGTATGGAACCTTGGCTTCTCTTCTGCCTCATATCCAGTATCTGCCCCCATCAATTCTGTGCTTTTGTTCATCTTGGGGACCGTGTGTATCATGCCACTGCTGAGCAGTACTGGCTCCGTGGCTGCCCCAAGGAAAGTCTTCCAGGGACGGATGCTCCTGTCTGTGGAGCCAGGCGATAAGGTGAGGTGTGGGTTAGCGGGGTGTGGGCGAAGGGGTGGGGGCTGGCTCTCCCCCAGGGAGCTCCCCTACAGGTCATGTGGGTGTTGGATGGAGGAGGATCACCCTTTGGGTCCTCACGAGGCTCTGAGCACCCGCTTCTGTCCTTCCAGCCCTTTACGAAGAAGGAGATCATCGGCTTTGTCATCGGCTCCGTGTCCAGTGTGCTGTACCTGCTCTCACGGCTGCCGCAGATCCACACCAATGTGAGCTTGGAGCCCCTGCTCGGGTGGGGCTGGTTGGAAGGAGAGCGGCCTGCCGGTGGCTCAGGCCTCTGGGTTAAGGAGTGGCATGCGGGAGTCTTTGTCTAGAAGGCCTGGCACCATCCTCAGTGGTGGCTTGGCGAGTTAACCAATCTCTCTGAGCCTCATTTGCCGTTCCTGGAAAATGGGCCAGGAGATAGATCCCCGCCATGGAGGGGTACATGAGAGCTGTGTGTGTCCCAAAGGTCAGATGAGAAGGAACATCCCAGAGCTTAGAGGCAGGAGAGAAGAGAGGAAGGGAGGGGAGGGGGACAGGGATGGGGAGGCTCGCTGGGCAGTGGGAATCTCCAGGGCTGGAGAGCAGAGTGTTGTGGGGCCGGCAGGTGTGTGCAGCCATTGGCTCCGTGGACCTGGGGGTGGGGGCCTGAGAGGAGTGGTCAAGATGGGACCTGAAGTGGTCTGGGTGGGGCTGGTCTGTGTAGCAGCTCAGAGTATATACAGTGTGATGGGCCCGGTGGGTGAGCAGTTACAATCCAGAGTGACAAGAGTCCTTTGAGGTCTCTGACCCCACCTCCTTCGTCCCCAGTTTCTGCGGAAGTCAACCCAGGGAATCTCCTACTCGCTGTTCGCGCTGGTGATGCTGGGGAACACACTGTACGGGCTGAGTGTGCTGCTCAAAAACCCCGAGGTGGGCCAGAGTGAGGGCAGCTATGTGCTGCACCACTTACCCTGGCTCGTGGGCAGCCTAGGTGTGCTGCTGCTCGATACTGTTGTATCCTTCAGTGTGTGCAGGGCAGGTGGGGCAGGGTGGGCTGGCAGCCTCTGCCTGTACACAGCACAGCGTTCATTACCTATCTAGCCATCTATCCATCCCATCTATATATCTGTCCATCTGTTCATCCTTTCGTCCAGCTTCCCATCCACCCATCCATCCATCTATCCACCCACTCATCCATCCACCCGCTCATCCATCCATCCACTCATCCATCCATCCACTCATTCATCCACCCACCCAGTTTCCCATTCAGCTTCCCATCCACCCA